GCCACGTCTGCTCGCTCCTAAAACATTGCCTCCTCTGCCACTCCTCTGCATGTTGTCTGACATACTCTTTAATTAAACGATTCTGTGTCCCTGAGTAACAATTCTGTGTCTGTCCCTGAGTAACAATTCTGTGTCCCTCAGTAACAATTCTGTGTCCCTCAGTAACAATTCTGTGTCCCTCAGTAACAATTCTGTGGCCCTCAGTAACAATTCTGTGTCCCTCAGTAACAATTCTGTGTCCCTGGCCCTGAGTAACAATTCTGTGTCCCTCAGTAACAATTCTGTGTCCCTCAGTAACAATTCTGTGTCCCTCAGTAACAATTCTGTGTCCCTCAGTAACAATTCTGTGTCCCTCAGTAACAATTCTGTGGCCCTAAGTAACGGTTCTGTGTCCCTCAGTAACAATTCTGTGTCCCTCAGTAACAATTCTGTGTGTGTGTCCCTGAGTAACAATTCTGTGTCCCTAAGTAACAATTCTGTGGCCCTAAGTAACAATTCTGTGGCCCTAAGTAACGGTTCTGTGGCCCTAAGTAACTGTTCTGTGGCCCTAAGTAACTGTTCTGTGGCCCTAAGTAACTGTTCTGTGGCCCTAAGTAACTGTTCTGTGGCCCTAAGTAACTGTTCTGTGGCCCTAAGTAACGGTTCTGTGGCCCTCAGTAACGTTTCTGTGTCCCTCAGTAACAATTCTGTGTCCCTCAGTAACAATTCTGTGTCTGTCCCTAAGTAACAATTCTGTGTGGCCATAAGTAACGTTTCTGTGGCCATAAGTAACGTTTCTGTGGCCCTAAGTAACGTTTCTGTGGCCCTAAGTAACGTTTCTGTGGCCCTAAGTAACGTTTCTGTGGCCCTAAGTAACGTTTCTGTGGCCCTAAGTAACAATTCTGTGTCCCTCAGTAACAATTCTGTGTCCCTCAGTAACAATTCTGTGTCTGTCCCTAAGTAACAATTCTGTGGCCCTAAGTAATGTTTCTGTGGCCCTAAGTAATGTTTCTGTGGCCCTAAGTAATGTTTCTGTGGCCCTAAGTAACGGTTCTGTGGCCCTAAGTAACGGTTCTGTGGCCCTAAGTAACGTTTCTGTGTTTCTCAGTAACAATTCTGTATCCTTCAGTAACAATTCTGTGTCTGTCCCTGAGTAACAATTCTGTGTCCCTGAGTAACAATTCTGTGTCCCTAAGTAACATTTCTGTGGCCCTAAGTAACGGTTCTGTGGCCCTCAGTAACAATTCTGTGTCTGTCCCTAAGTAACATTTCTGTGGCCCTAAGTAACGTTTCTGTGGCCCTAAGTAACGGTTCTGTGGCCCTAAGTAACGGTTCTGTGGCCCTAAGTAACTGTTCTGTGGCCCTAAGTAACTGTTCTGTGGCCCTAAGTAACGGTTCTGTGGCCCTCAGTAACGTTTCTGTGTCCCTCAGTAACAATTCTGTGTCTGTCCCTAAGTAACGTTTCTGTGGCCATAAGTAACGTTTCTGTGGCCATAAGTAACGTTTCTGTGGCCCTAAGTAACAATTCTGTGTCCCTCAGTAACAAATCTGTGTCTGTCCCTAAGTAACAATTCTGTGGCCCTAAGTAACGGTTCTGTGGCCCTAAGTAACGGTTCTGTGGCCCTAAGTAACGGTTCTGTGGCCCTAAGTAACGTTTCTGTGTTTCTCAGTAACAATTCTGTATCCTTCAGTAACAATTCTGTGTCTGTCCCTGAGTAACAATTCTGTGTCCCTGAGTAACAATTCTGTGTCCCTAAGTAACATTTCTGTGGCCCTAAGTAACGTTTCTGTGGCCCTAAGTAACGTTTCTGTGGCCCTCAGTAACATTTCTGTGTCCCTAAGTAACGTTTCTGTGGCCCTAAGTAACGATTCTGTGGCCCTAACTAACGTTTCTCTGTCCCTAACTCTCTCCCCTGAATACAGCCAGGTCTGCCTCTGTTGAATGACTGGAGGCAAATGGAGAATTCTAAAATGGCCGCCATTTATAGCTCGTCCATTACACAGTGCTGGCTGGCTGGCTGCTGATTGGCTAATGCGATCACATGTCATGAATGAATGCATTATGGGTCAGCGTGCCTTGTCTGCGCGCCTTCCCAGACATCCCCGCTCCGTCGCCGCCATTTTAGGAAATTTTCCTAATATTCAAAACGAATTCCACTTCGCCTACTTCGATTCGCTCATCTCTAGTCTTGTCCATGGTCGTAGTTGGCGTCTGTCTGACTGTGGGGTGGACAGGTGTCTTTAAAGAGCTCAGAAAGGTGCTACTAAGTTAGATTAATGAGTGGAGTAGAGGTGGACTTTTTAAGGCACAGTAACAGGTCTTTGAGAGCCAGAATTCTTGCTGTTTCTTAGGTGTTCAAATACTTATGTTCAGCAGTGCAAAACAAATATAAAAATCATACAATGTGATTTCCTGAATTTTTTTTTAACAATTCTGTCTCTGAGTGGGAATGCTTCTACAATGTGAATTTCAGACCCCTCCATGATTTCTAAGTGGGAGAACATGCAAAATTGCAGGGTGTTCAAATACTTCTGTTCCTCACTGTATATGTATGTATATATGTGTGTGTGTGTGTGTGTGTGTGTATATATGTATGTATATATGTGTGTGTGTGTGTGTGTATATATGTATGTATATATGTGTGTGTATATATGTATGTATATATGTGTGTGTGTGTGTATATATGTATGTATATATGTGTGTGTGTATATGTGTGTGTGTGTGTATATATATATATATATATATGTGTGTATATAATATATATATATATATATATATATATATATATATATATATATATATAGTGTAAAAATACAAATTTTATTTGTTATACAGACGTGTCCTGAGGAAGTATAAGAGGAACATGTTGACCCATGAGGACTCACAACCACGATTATTGTTGTATATGAAATACAATCAAATTGTGATATATTCATCTCCAGTGTGTGGTAGAATGAGTCAGCAGTAGGAAGCATTTGAATTTATATTGAGCAATTATGGTTTTTTAACTCAATTATGGATATTTTAAGATGACTCTTCTGCATATCGAATACATTTAGTATATACTGTGTGTGTGTGTGTGTGTGTGTGTGTGTGTGTGTGTATATATATATATATATATATATATATATATATATATATATATATATGTGTGTGCTCCCCTTCAATGCCAGTAAAGTCCAACATTTTGTTTTTTTTTTATATACATCTGATATTTATGCATGTGGCAATTGAGTGGCTTACTATACTCTATATTTAACATTCAAATACAATGACTTGCGTTGCAATTGTATATGCTATATACATTTTTTTCCCTATGAAAGCGGAGTTCCCTTTAGCTTGTTATAGAGGAACAGAAGCCATAGTTCCCCAAAGACTCTACACACTATGGCACACTTGCCCACCATAGTATGTGCTTCAGCAATGTGATGCCTTTAATCCTACTTATCTATCCAGTGTTGTCATCTTTGTAATCAATATTCTGGACTCTTGATTTGCCAAACCAGGATGACGTAACATCCTTATATGCTTCTAAAATGCGGGCTGCAACCTACAGTGTCCCACCGAGCTCTCTGAACTCTCCAGAGAGAACACTGTGGTTGGAGCAAAGGCCATGACCTGATTTTTCCAGGTCTCATCACTGGGCTCACCTCCTCCTGCAGTGCAATGCACTTTTGTAAAGTAAATCACTGGGTTTTAAAAAATCTGTGAGGGGAGGATTCTTATCTTTTTGTGTTTTGTTTTTTTTAAGCAGTTGTATGACTGCACTAACACCAGGCTGCCAATTTATAAACTGATCCCTCAGTATCCAGAAAAACATTTGCTCAGCATTTTGTTGCATGGCCTTGGGTCATGATAGTCTTTGTAACGTCGGAGCGCTGACCCTTGCACGGATGCTTTTTCATGTAATGGGTGGTTTGTGGTCCTAGAGGGTGCCCACTAGCAACTGTGGTGTCTTTTTGAACCATACAGGAGTTTGATGAAGTTTTGTAAAGATGGAAGCACTACAGCAGCTTGTGCAGACTTTTAAAAAAGATTTTTATTTTGTAACAGCCAACGTGTTCCAGGAGCTCAGCACTCCCTCTTCCTCAAGGCTAAAAAAATAGACAAGGAAATACAAAGAATCCTTAAAATGTGTTAAAAGCTAGAAGTACAGAAAAGTATAAAAATACACATACCTTAATGTTTTAACGCATTAAAGTATTTGCATTTTTATACTTTTATATATTATATATATTTTACAGCATTTAACACATTTTAAGGATTCTTTGTATTGTCTAGTTAGTCCTGATGAAGGGGAGGGGGGGGGGTGTAGTGCTGAGCCCCCGAAATGTGTTTGGTCATGAGACTGTGACTTAACAACTGCCACTTTTCCATTAATATGGTACAGCAGCCAAGTCAGTCATAAGGTCGACCAGTGCAGATTATTATATTATACAGCTGGCCAAGGTTGAAGGGTGGATATTCCCTTTAAACATTTGCTAAAGCTGGCCATACACTGACCAAAGTTCAGCAGGCACCAAATTTGTCTGTGGCAGTCCACACTTGATAGAATTTGCATTTTTTTTTTTTTTTTTTTTTACTTTTGTCAATGGGACATGTTGGAAAAATTCTCTCGATCAGCAACTGTAGCCAATTAGCTGCAGCAGGTGTGTTGATGGAGAAATCTTTTTTTTTTTCCCATTCAGCCCACTAAGATTGTATGACCACCTTTCATTTCAGTGCATCTTAAAGACATTACAAATAACCAAGTCTGTCTGCCAACCAGAAACACAGAATCTGATTACAACAACAAAATGGTAGAGTTGGTAGCTCATAATTCTGGTGCCAATTGGCCCCTTCATCCTTCCGATTAGCCTTTTAGGTTACACTTTAAGCCCATCCTAAGCAATCTTCACATGCAGAGCAGGTCTACAAGTTGAGTTGATGTTGCCTCCTCACTCTTGGGTGTAAGAGGGAAAAATGGTCTGGCTTCTGACATGGGGTTAGGGTTTGTATTTTTCTGGCAAACGGAACTTACCTGTTCCTTTAGCTGATTGACTTTTTCCTGAAGAAGCATCTTTACAATTCTGAGTTTCTGCTCTACATCGCTCATGCGAGTTTCCATTTTCTGCAGCAGCTTCTCCTGGTCATCCTGTACAAGAGACATGGTACATAATGAAGACCGCACCAAAAGGGTCAGCCCATCCACTGCTCACAATAAGGTTTTTTTTTTTTAGTACAGGTCAGTCCATTCTTGGCTTTCACTTACCTGTCTGGTGATGGTGAGCATTCTCTGTTCTGCTGCATTGTCTGTAATCGTGATTAACAGAGCATAGGGACATAGCCCCACTTCATGTCAGACAGATGAGCAGATAATTGCCCTGTGTCCTGGGGTGCTGTTTCCGAAAATCTACAAGTCTCCTAGTCCTCTAATCATATTCTCATAGGCAACACTGAGTTTTTCTATTTTTCCAATTAATAAGTAGATGTTGTACATACACTATATTGCCAAAAGTATTGTGACGCCGGCCTTTACACACACATGAATTTTAATGGCATCCCAGTCTTAGTCCGTAGGGTTCAATATTGAGTTGGCCCCGCCCTTTGCAGCTATAACAGCTTCACCTCTTCTGGGAAGGCCGTCCACAAGGTTTAGGAGGGTGTCTATGGGAAGGTTGGACCATTCTTCCAGAAGCACATTTGTCAGGTCAGGCGCTGATGTCGGGGGAGGAGGCCTGGCTCACAGTCTCCGCTCTAATTCATCCCAAAGGTGTTCTATGGGGTTGAGGTCAGGACTCTGTGCAGGCCAGTCAAGTTCCTCCACCCCAAACTGGCTCCTCCATGTCTTTATGGACCTTGCTTTGCGCAGTGGTGGGCAGTCATGTTGGAACAGGAAGGGGTCATCCCCAAACTCTTCCCACAAAGTTGGGAGCATGAAATTGTCCAAAATGCCTTGGTATGCTGACGCCTTAAGAGTTCCCTTCACTGGAACTAGGGGGCCAAGCCCAACCCCTGAAAAAAACAACCCCACACCATAATCCCCCCTCCACCAAACTTTACACTTGGCATAATGCAGTCAGGCAAGTACCGTTTTCCTGGCAACCGCCAAACTCAGACACAGCCATTGGATTTCCAGGCAGAGAAGCATGATTGGTCACTCCAGAGAACACGTCTCCACTGCTGTAGAGTCCAGTGGCAGCGTGCTTTACACCACTGCATCCGACGCTTTGCATTGCACTTGGTGATGTAAGGCTTGGATGCAGCTGCTCAGCCATGGAAACCCATTCCATGAAGCTCTCTATGCACTGTTGTTGTGCTAATCTGAAGGCCACCAAGTTTGGAGGTCTTTAGCTATTGACTCGGCAGACAGTTGGTGACTTCTGCGCACTGTGTGAGCCAGGAAATGTCATGGATGGACTTATTGCACAGGTGACAACCTATCATGGGACCACGCTTGGAGTCACTGAGCTCCTGAGAGCGACCCATTCTTTCACCAATGTTTGTAGAAGCAGTCTGCATGCCTAGGGGCTTGATTGTATACACCTGTGGCCATGGAGGGGATTGGAACACCTGAATCCAATGATTTGGAGGGCTGGCCCAATACTTTCGGCAATATAGTGTAACTTTCTTCCTCGAGTGATTTAGTTGTAAGTTGTCTATTAGTGCCCATCAGATTAATTGGGAGGCTCATATGGCCATGGGCACAGGAACAAGATTGACTTTTAGGGCTCTTTCACACAGATGGGCAGAGGCCGGTAAAAACAAGAGGTTGAGCTGCAGTTTTACCACTCAGCTAAATTCTACTATTACAGGCGGAAGGGGCTGTATGTGTGCCATTTGCAAGAAAAAGACAAAATTGACAGGAGAGAGCATTTCACCACATGGCAGTGAGGCAATGCGGCTCTGTTGGGAATGTTATTTGCTGATCTGGCAACACCACCAGTCTTGGAAGCCTGTAAAAGCATGTAAGCTGCTATTCCTCCCCTGTTTCTCACTCTCTAGTCTGCTGCTTGATTTTTCTAGCCCATCTGACTGCAAACATACCCTTATACAGACCACAGGTATGAGCTGGATGTACTATGTCCCCTTAAAGGTGGCTGAAAAATAAGAAGGGTATGATTAGTCTCAATTTGATTGCCCCAAAGCGGAATTTATGTCTAGTGGACTGTATCTGGTACAAGCAGGGCCGGGACAAGGGATGGGCAGGATGGGTGGCTGCCCTGGGCACTGGGGGGGGCTACACGAGGAGATTGGGGGGAGGGGATATGTTGGAAGGGATAATTCAGGGGGCAGCAGGTGGTAAGAATTGATTTAGAATGGGAAATTTGGCGAGTGGTGAATTGTGTTGGGATGGGGGAACAGGATTTGTGGGTTTTTGTGCTAGAAAAGGCAATGTGGTGGGGGGGATTTGTGCTATGAGGGGATATTTTTTTTTTGGGGGGAGGTGGGTATTTGTTCTAGGATGGGGAATGTATGAGAGGATCTATGGGGGTTGCAATTTGGCAAGTTCAACCTGGGCTCTAGACAACCTGTATATCAGGTTTATCTTGAAGTCTATGGCATTCAAGACGCTAAAGCCAGACCAAAGTAGTGCAGGAACTACTTCCAAGATGCTGCACAGATATGAATGGCATTCATTTGGAAACATGGGCTGTGGCTTGTCATGCGACATTGGAACCCAAAGTCACATGAAAAGTCTCACAAGTGTGAATGGGCTCTTTCTGTGAATTTATTTAGATGCATGGCTTTTTTATTTATGTATTTTTGTGATTTGGCTTCTTTTGCACAGCATGCTCAGTTTATAGAGACCATCTACCTCCTTGGAGAATTTAATTATCCATGTCAGCATGTAGTATACTGTATATTTATACATATAGTAGCAGTCATTGGAGGCTCTTGCTAGCTGTTTATCTTGGTAATTATTTGTGGGTAGGGGCACTGTGATTAAATCATGGACACGTTATTCATCACTGCTACATACCTTAGTTGACTTGGAAGTGTTAGTGTGTTGCTGGATTTACTTACAGTGGCTGGTTGTAGTGCCTGGATGTTATGGCGTGATTAGACAATGTTGTTTTTTTCTTTTAAATTGGGTATGGTGTAAGGTTTTGTATATTTTAATTAATTGGTATTTTTGAGATTTATTATATTACTTTGGATGTGTTTTGTACTTTCCAAAAATTGCTTTCTTTTCCATTGACATGGTTGGATACAAGCCACATGGGCTTAAATTTGAGGTGGTCTCTGTTGAACCCAAGTTGCTTTGATCTTGGCGTTTCCCTGGTTTTTTTTTTTGCAAACATATTTATTATGACCACAGGAATCACACCTGAAGAGGGTGACTTGGCATCCAACTGGTAATTGTAACCTTAGGTCCTTTATGCCCTGTAGACATGCAGTGCCTGAGATCTGAGATGTGCTGGCTGTCATTCAAATGCACCTATTAAGTGCAGTAGGAGTGCACTACAGCCCCAAGCTTGGTTCCCTGTTGCAGTGCTGTAATTTAAGAAAATCCCTCTTGGGGGACCTGCTTTGTGTTTCATTGTATGCAACAGAGCCTATTGAGGTGCACTTGCATTATACAGAAAGCAAGTCAAAAGCCTTTTGCAGTGTTTGACATTGCCTATCTTCAGACAGCACTGATGTGGTGTTTTTTTCTATACTGATACTCAAAATATGTTTTATACATAAGTAAAGTTTGGATTGCTTAGGTTTACTTTATAGGTGTTATTCTTTGTGATTATTGAATTAAATCATGTTGTGTATCATTGTAGAATTTATCAGCATAAGAACATTTCTAACAGACTGAGGAGGCTTGGGGATCAATCATTAGGAAGGTGAATGCTCCTATAATCTAGTGTCTAGTCTCCTCTAATTGGTCCCTTCTAATCTCTCTTTTTGATGTGATGCATTATTGCAGGGTTTGGACTGCTGTTATCCTGACTTTAATATCGGCTGAGTTACTGACTGGAACAAGCATTCATGATCAAAGTTCCAGCCCTTCACCCCTTTGACTTCACAAAAATGCATGTTTGTTTCCACATCAATGACTTTTCAGATAAACCTGTCTACATTCACATGGATGCAGTCATTGGCAAGAATTAGTAGAGTCTTCCCAGTAGTATTTAATGCTGCCTGCACACTGTAGCTGGTTGAATGCAAGATCCTCCAATCATCCCTGGGCACAATCAGTGTGTGCATCCCAGGTCAGCATTTCTGAAGATTTATGGCCACACACAAAGGCTGCAGATACACAGAGCGCTTAGCCACCTCCTGAAGGCAGCAAATTACACCCTATGTGAATGTAGTCAAAATGTTCAAAACCCAAGTCTGCAATTTCTTCTCTTGTATCCATCTTTACAGGTTCATATTAATTATTCTTGAGTAGGTTTGCGTTTTCGAGAACTGAATCTACATAATGAATTACCTCCATAATGGTTTATTAGAACATGGGAGCCCTGGGAAATCGCCATGTTGTAATTGGGTAATTCTTTCATTAATGTGAAATAATTCAGTAAGGCCTGTTATGATTCCTATTGATGGAAATCCACCAGAATCCCATTCTTTCTAGGTTATAATTGAGCTTTTTGAAAGGTATTAATTTTTCTCCTAATGTAATCATAGAGCGAAAATATTCTAAGTATATATATATATATAACATTTTAATTATAAATTTGAGAACAAAGATAGGAAAGTTGTATTTTGTCAATTAACTTGGCTTGAAAAAGCACTGAATTGCAGTACCTGTGCTAGTTATTAGATAGATTTAGCCCCTCGGATCCTAGACCCAACTTTAGTTTTCATTGAAGTTTGTTTCTTTTCTGTCTTTGAGAAGTCAAAGCCTAGTATAAATGGTTAACCTCGCGGTTTTAAAAACTGTAAGCAAAAGGAAGAAGGCGCCACCATCTAAAGTGCAGCTAATAGTTAACATTAAAAAAAAAAAACCGATTGTGCACGCCCATCTAATTCAGAAAGCACATAATGGTTGTTTTAATGCTTTTATATGGTCAATAAATGCCTGTAAACAAGGTAGAGGGTGCAACAATCCTAAGTGCAATCAGTGTGCTAGAGCAGTGTTTCTCAACTTTTTTTCAGTCAAGGCTCCCTTTTAAAATTTTGCACAATCTTGAGGCACATCATTCTAACATGTAA